GGGGGGGGGGGGGGGGAGACGAGGTTTGTTCCCACCTCGAAACCGCGAGATTGATTCCTTCCGTTGTACACCCTCCCTGCCCTCACATTCCCTCCTCTGGCCCCATTCATGCACACTTTGAACCCTGACGCCAGCCCACCAACCACCAAGCCTCTTGGGGGACTGTGTGGTTGTGCGTGTCCACGCTTCTGTCTCCTGCCCTGCCCAGCCCACCTTCCGCGCAGCCTTTCCGGCGCCCTCCGCCTGGTGTCCCCGCAAGCCATGGTCTCTCTCCTCCCACAGGCAAAGATTGGGAACAAAGATCAATACCTATAAGGTCCTTATGCGTGTACGGAATGAAGACGTTGCCTCTGTACGTTGTAAGGCAAATTTGTAAACTACAGTACATAATACATGCTCAGGGCTTTATGCAGGTTTAAACACATAGGCGGGGAAGTGTGTACAGCCCGCTCTGCTACTTGGAAACCAGTATAAACCTTGGGGCAAATTAGTTTCATAACTTCCCCCCAAGCCTTTGTTATGAAAAGCTAAGAATATATTCCAAGGTTGCTGTGAGAATGAATCTGAATATGTTCAGCTACGTTACTCCTGTGTTAATTTTTCTAGATCATAAAGAATGAAACGAAAGGTAACAGATCACCGTGCGACTGTACCTGGCAGATTCATTTCCAAAATAACCATAGTCACTTATTACCCCGAGATCCCACATGAGGGATACAATGATGTCCTAACTAACCAGTTTGCCTTCTCACGAATCACATTCCATTCTGAGTCGCCTAAGTCAACAAATTCTTTTCAGCAATCCTTTCCCAACCATTTTGCTCTGCCTTTTTTGCTGATTTCATTCACTTAGTCCTTTAAGAGATCTAGCAAAACATAGGGTGGTAACTTCTGGACTCGCTCAGAGTTCTAGTTCCCCTTACTTAAATCTTCTGAAGTACCCTAACTTCTCTATCTTAATCTGCCCGACAACAAAAGTTAACTATGAAAGTATTTTGTAGAATATACAAAAATAGTTACTTCATTGAGTTGGTATAAGGAGTGAATTAGCTGATAAGACTTAACGCCTGGCACAAAGCAAGTGCTATTGTGTTTGCTGCTGTTTTGCCACTGAGAGTAACCTAGGAGGGAACAGTTCTCACAGAGGACACGTTTACAGGAATAAATGTGCTATTACTACCTTCAAAAAAAGGGGAGGAGGAGTCTACAGAACTAAGATGTTGCTCTTTATTTCCACCCTGATATTCAGTCTCCTGAAGCAAAGTATATTCAACCTAAAGACAAAGAAGAGAAGCATTAAGAGAACCTTGATCACAGAGATGCTAACACAATGAGAATCTGGCAAAATATACACAGGGTGATTGACAGAGGGAAAAGGTTGCATGACTGGCCCCACCGATTATCAGTACTACCTATCCTATTCTTCCGTCCTACTGTTAAGAAACCTAATTCAAGGTAACCATGCAGCACGCAGGGAAAGGATGTATTGCTGAAACTGTGGGTAGGGAATATTAGACTAGTAATTCACTGGCCACTTAAAAAAACAAAACAAAACAATGCTATGTATTTCATGCACTGTCATTATACGCCAGACACATCCAAAGAAATTCATAATGTATACAACGTTTTGGTTTCCACTTAAGGTAGTCAGAAACAAACAAAAGACAGAAGTATATTCTTAAATGCAAAGCCGAGGATATGGCTTAAATTGTCAGTATATAATATTTACATAAATGATGATCAAATTCACTTTAAATTATTTTTAGCATTTCCATAATGGAAAGCAAGGTCCAGAAAGGTTCAGATTCTTGGACTCAGTCATAATCTTTGTGCTTTTATGGTTGTTATTTAGACAGGTATGGACTCACACCTCCTTTGGGTAACAATATATTCTTGAAAGTATTTGGGGGCACCTGGCTGGCTCAGTCAATAGAGCATGTGATCTTGGGGACCTAAGCTTGACCCTTACGTTGTGGGTAGAGTTTACCTTACAAAACAAAGTATTTTGGAGCACCTGGGTGGCTGGGTCAGTTAAATATCTGAGTCTTGGTTTCGGCTCAGGTCATGATCTCACAGTTTGTGAGTTCGAGCCCCACGTCAGGTTCAATGCTGTCTGTGTAGAGTCTGCTTGGGATTGTCTCTCTCTCTCCATCTCTCTCTGCCCCTCCCACTCTCACTCTCAAAATAAACTTTAAAAAAAAAGTACTTTAAGTACTACTTAAAGCTTATCTTGGTTTAATCATGCACCACTCATTTTTAACCATTAAATTAATAGTCTTCAGTATGCTCTGGGGTCAGTTGAATCCCTTGAGAAGACATAATAAGCAACCTAGCATCTCTGGAGTCAGGTAAATCTGATTTAAAATCTTAGCTTTATTTCCTAGTGGCATGTGATTGGTGCTTAGCCTCTGTAAGCCTCAGTTATCTCATCCACAAAATAGAGATTGAGGTAACTCAAATATGATCTACTACATAGTAAGTCCTCAGAAAATATTGGTTATTGGGGCAGCTGGCTGTCTGGCTCAGTGAGTAGACCAAGTGACTCTGAATCTCAGGGTTGTTATTTTGAGCCCCATGTTGGGTGTAGAGTGTATTTAAAAATAAAATGTTTATATGGGGCGCCTGGGTGGCTCAGTCGGTTAAGCGGCCAACTTCGGCTCAGGTCACAATCTCACACTCCGTGAGTTCGAGCCCCGCGTCGGGCTCTGTGCTGACAGCTCAGAGCCTGGAGCCTGTTTCAGATTCTGTGTCTCCCTCTCTCTGACCCTCCCCCATTCATGCTCTGTCTCCCTCTGTCTCAAAAATAAATAAACGTTACCAAAAAAAATTAAAAATAAATAAATAAATAAATAAAATGTTTATATACGTGTGTGTGTGTGTGTGTGTGTGTGTGTGTGTGTGTGTGTGTGTGTGTGTAGGCTATACCAAAATAGTCAAATATCAAAGAGAAGTTATGCAATGTTTAGCTATGTGTCCTAGTACAAACTGTTACTGGGATCCAGGCACCAATATTTTTTAAGACTCTCCGGGGAATTCTAACACGCGGCTAAGCTGAACCAAGCTTTAGACAACAGAGATATTAGAATTAACTATATATGACAGTACACATTATCTAGACACATTTCAATGAATCAATGGATTAGCTGGTTAGAATGTGATAGCGAGATTTGCAGCAAGAAGCACTTTTTTAAAATATTTATTTTTATTTTTGAGAAAGAGAGCATGAGCGGGGGGAGGGGCAGAAAGAGAGGGGGACAGAGGATCAGAAGTGGGTTCCGAGCTGACAACAGACAGCCCCGTGCTGGGCTCGAACTCAATCTCAAACTTGCAGACCAAAGTTGTGACCTGAGCCAAAGCGGGATGCTCAACTGACCGAGCCACCCAGGTACCCAGCAAGAAGCACTTATAAAAGTTCTTGGTAGACAATATGAAGATACTAGGGGGAAGGCACATAAAATGCGAGGAGGTGATGAAAACAAAATCTCCCCTAAAAAAGTTGTCCAGGTGCCACTAATTCCCTGTCTCTGATTCCACTTGTGTTGCTTTGGTGTCTATCTCCACCATCCAGAAAAACATTACTTACATATTCTCTAGAATGCACATCAAGCAAAAATCTTTAAGTACCGCATAGACGCCATCTGGCGCAAATCTTTCCTTCCTGGGTCGAGACAAGAAAACAAGCTGGGATTGGATTGAAATTAAAGTCCTCCCGAGTAGCAAACAGGAGAATTGTAAACAGGAATGAATCCAGGACTGTTATCAGTACTTAAAATAGTAGTCCTCACGGCATATCTGATGGGATTCCTGTAAAATTCATGTGGGTGGAGAAAAGGTAGTCTGTGTCACATCAGAACCTACACTAGCAAATACGGAACTGCAGGGGCAGCTGCCCAGGCTCTAGCCGTCCCCACGGCTTCCTCTCCCTGAACCAGCCGGCTAGAACCAGCCCGACAACAACAGTCTCCACAGTTAGAATAGCTAAATACTGATCTAGCCTTTCCCCACCCACATCCCTCCTCCCTTTCCGCCACTCCATTTCTACACGTTAAACTGAGCGCCTCTCCAACTACGCGAAGAAAATGTCAATGCCAGACACAAAGGAGGATGGGAGGTGGGGGGGGGAAAGGAGTGAAGACCGCACCTTGGCTCAATCAGGAGGAAAGGGTGTAAAGAAAAATAAGACTTCGAGAAGTAATGGAGGGTTCCCCCTCCTTAAATGTATCTGGCTGTTTGGAATATTTCATTTTCTCTACCACTCAGGAATAACTTGGAATGCGTGTTCACATTGCAGACTCCTTGGCCCTCACGTCTGACCTTCTGAATGAGCCTGGATATCTGTATTTTTGAGCCAAACTCAAAGCGTAGACAATCACCCCTGAGTCTGCATTTTGAATTCACATCCCAAAT